TTGTTGTTGGGATTATTATTTTTTTTTACCCCCCCCAGAAACTCACCCTCCCCTTTTCATTTTCTGCGCACTTGAAAAACAAAACTGGAATAAAGTTTAAAAAAACCAACCACCACCACCACCAAACCCTCACTACCAAAAGAAAAAAAAAAAAAAAGAGGATCAGGGCCCATCTTTTCATCTCCCTTGCCCACCTCCTGCAAAAGCCCCCTTTACTGGAGCAGATGGGGTGGGGATGGAGCCGGTGGTTCAACCTCATGTGGGCAGGGGGAGGTGGGGGGGGTGCCCCGAGCCCCCGCCCTGCCTGGCTGCTGGGTGCTATATTTCCCAAGTCATTACCAGCGAGTGAAAATTTCCAGCTTTCGAGCCGAAATGCATTAGCTGAGCACACACTACTAATGGGAAACAGGACGCATCATTAGGCAGCGAATCCGGCCAAGTGGGAGAAGCCGAAGGGAAAAGTGAGTCGGTGCTTTTGGTAGTTGCCCGTCTCTCCGGATCGCTGTCCGTCCATCCGTCTGTCCATCCTTCCCGCCAGCAGCATCTCGCTGTAACTCCCTGCTCTGCCGATGGCTGGCCCATCCCAACAGCTCCAATGTAAAACGGCTCCCTTAATAACTGGAGCATCTCCAGCATCCCTTTAATGGGAATTACAGTGGCAGTCACGACTTCTTATAAGGAGGAAAAATAATTAAGAGATCTATCAGGCTTTTAATAAAACAAGTCAAAAACTTCTATGACACCCATACTTTAAGCCACACAACCTCTATGCAAGCAAAGCCAGAAGCTGTGAATCTCTGCAGATTTTTTTTCTCGGTGGTGGCTTTTTTTGGGGTGGGGGAGAGGCTTCAGCACTTGCCCAGCTTTGAACGTGTGATTTCAATTAAGCACATAGTTACACGGCAGCAGGGTTGGGGCTGGCTGTTTGGATAAGGAGCAATAAAGCAGCAGCTGTATTTATTCACTTATTTTGAAGCTGCTGTGGAAGACAGGATGCTAAACAGGAGGAAAAAAAAAAAGTGTTTTAAAGGCAAACTTGAGGGACTCCTTTGTCTCCTGTGGGCATCCTCTTCCCCGAGGTTCCCGTAGCCATCACCAGGGTACTTCCTCGCGAGCAGGGTAATCCTGCCCGTGCATTCCCATAATTTCCATTTGCTTTGAAATGCTCAAAAATATGGAGGTGCTCGTTTATAACAAGGTCTGTTTCTACAGCTTGGGCAGTGAAAAGAAACTTTAAGTGGCAAGAATCCCTGATTTAAGGTGGGGTTTACTGGATACGGACAGCTAGCCCGTGCATGCAGAGACATTTAATGCTGCGTTATTAAGCCGTGGGGGATTTTTACTCCATGTTTATTAACCTGGAGACTCCAGTCTGGGGATTTCTCCGTGTTTGCATACACCGGAGTGAATTTTCAGTGCAAATTTGGTGCTTGTGGAGATTTGAGCAGGAACGTTTGTGTGAGTGCAGGGCTGCGAATCCCTGGCGCTGTGTTTGCTGAGCACACTCACATCTGGGCGAGGTGTCTGTGCCATCCGCAGCTCTCCATTGGACCATGCGTCTGCGCTTGTCTCCAAGGGGGGATTGTCACACAGGGGGATGGCACCCAAACCAGACGAACAGTTAAATTTCCACAGCACAGTCTCCTCTAAGCCTGTGAAAGCTCCTAATGTGTTTTTTCCCATATCCCAGATATACGTACACCCTCTGACACACCTGGGCGGGTACACACAGACACGTTCCCCTTGGCATGGCAGCAGGATGGGTTCTCACTGCCCGTCCTGGCGTACATCCGTGCCCGTGGGCAACGGGTAGGTGTGGACCAGCCTGAGGAGCATGGCCAGGGGGACGGTGCAGGTGCGCCTGTGAGGCCTGGGGGGAAGGTGTGGGTGTCAGGGGGGGTTTGGGTGTCACTAGGGGAAGGTGCGGGTGTTGGTGGGGAGCTGTAGGTGTCCATGTGGGTGTCCATGAGGGAAGGTGAGGGTGTCAGCAAAGTTGTGGAGGGGAAGGTGTAGTTGGCCATGAGTAAGGGAGATGTCTGTGGCGGAAGGACCAAGTGTCCATGTGGGTGACTGTCTGGAGCGGGTGTTGGTGTGGGTGTCCATGGAGTACGAGGTGTCCATGGAGTAGGAGGTATCCATGGGGAAGGAGCAGGTGTCAGTGTGGGTGTCCGTGGGGAAGGTGTTTTTGAGTGTTGGTTTGGGTGTCCGTGGGGAAGGAGCGGTTGCCAGTGTGGGTGTCCATGGGGAAGGAACGGGTGTCAGTGTGTTTATGGGGAAGGAGCAAGTGTTGGTGTGGGGGTCCATGGGGAAGAAGAGCGGGTGCCTGTTGGGGGGAAGATGCGGGTGCATAGGTGGGTGTTAGTGGAGAAGCCGGTGTGGAAGGACGGGTGTCCGGGGGGATGTCAATGGGGAAGAAGGGGTGTCGGTGGAGACAGGCCAGCGGGGGTGGGGGGGGGCCCCCCCCCCCCCCCCCCCC